TTTGCACCGCAAAAACTCCAAAACAAACTAAACAAACAGGCCCAGCACCACAACCTTAAAGAATATTTGTATAAGTGCAAACTCTGCCAACAATGCTTGGATACAAAACTAGATTCTATCTTCATATGTAAAATTAAAATCCACATAGACAAAGAAGATTGAATATATACTTTCTTACTGCAATAGCTTTCATGGATATGAAGTCATAATGACAGCAAACTATAGATTCTCAACTGTTGCTTACAAATTATGTTACTTTTTTTTTCTTTTCAAAGTATAGTTAACTTCACTCTATGATTTATATATCAAACTTGACAGAAGCTAAATCAAACAGCAATAATACATTAATACAAGGCTACAACGTAATTTTTTTTAGAATTTTTGAGCTAAAATTAGAGTGATTCTTTACATATACATACTGAAAAAATGTATACATTACCTTGAGGTTTTTCCACAACACACTTAACAATTAAAGTCACAAACAGTTAAAGGCAACTTACCCAACAAAGAAACCAGCAATATGTACTAACAGCACAGAAAGAATAACCACCCCAACTTCTCCAGATAACATTGTCTGAGCACGAGCCATTAGAGACAGATCAGCCGGCAATGTTACAGCAACCATTGAAGCTTTGAGACGGACAACATTCTCAGAGAATACACTGGCCCACAAAATAAAATCTAGTAGTTTGAGAAAGAGAGCATATTTGGAAAGAACCACACGCAAGACAATCATATTTTACATATAAGTAATTAAAAAGATATTTATATGCATAACAAATGTACCTGCATGCAAGCAGTGATGCAGCTAGAACAGCAAAAAGTGGTGCAAAAGGTATCACAATTTTAACCACTGCAGGAAATGCACTCTGCATATAAGAACCTAACAAAATTGGAGCAACAACGACCTACAGATGACAGAATAGAGACCATAAGCCCCAGCTGATGGATAATATAATATTACTGAAGTTTATTATATTTAACTTAACCTGAATGGTGCTGATTGACAGTTTCGCAGCATCCACAGGGACGTAAGTCCCTGCCAATATCTTTGTTAGTAGAGGAGTCAGGGCTACTGCCCCAAGAGTTGTGCATACCGTCATTACAATAGAGAGAGGAACATCCCCTTGAGCAATTAAGGTCACCTGAAAAGCTATCATAAAAAGCATTGAATGGAGTATCTCACAATTTGAAAATATTAAGGCATTGCGTTCAAACAACACTAGATCCATAACTAATTTCAAGTCTATATTAAAAGGAAATACAAAGTTTCTTTTAGCAAGATTGCATTTCCAGTTTAGAATCACCTTTGTATTAAAAATAAAAACTAGAGAAGTTTGTTCAGAACATAAAGGCATTGTTAAAAGATTACTGTCTTTTTCTACTAATGGTGATTAACCAGTAAGGGAGTGACCACAAAGAAGCACAGAACTTTGAAAAGTTTCATTCAGCAAAACAGGAAGGGGGAAGGCAAGGACTGAAAAATATAATAAATACGAAAACCCTAATGATGCAGAATGCATGTGATTAGTTTTCCTAAATCTATTTGGATGAATTATTATTAGCTTTCTTTATTCCATTTGGATTAGTTATTACTTCAGTTAAGGATTCCTTGTTGTTGAAGGATCTCCTATTAGTTAATTTGCTTTCCTATTTCTTAAAGTTTACTTTTCCTTTTCCTAGAGTGCAAAGGGTTGTGCCTCTGTAAATAGAGCAGTTTGTAATATTTTAAGGCAGACTTGATTAATGATAAATTTCCTCACTGATTCCTTCCCTTTCCCTTCGTCCCTTTGTCCCTTCAATCTCTGATTCTTCTCCTTGATCTCCCTTATCCTAGACGTTCTACATTACCTAAATTAGGAAAGAATTTGGGAAAACATAAAAACCTAACCTAATTGGCCACCTGGCATGCAGTCTGTCATACCACCAAACCTAATTGGCCACCTGGCATGCAGTATGTCATACCACCAAACACATGATTTTAGGTAATAAATTTTTTTTTGCATAAACCAAGCACAGCTGAGACTATGATTTGTGACAAATGGTCGGTAATGGTGAATTAGAACGGAAGTTAATAAGTTAGAAACAGAAAGAGTGAAGGAAGAGATGGCAAAATCGAAAATGGTCAGCCTGATAATTTGACTATACAAAATGGTACTTCTGGGAGTACATCAGAAAAAAATGATGTCACCAGTTTGTCATCGTTAGAAGAAATGGTGAGAATAAAGACCATCATCCATTGTGAGCAAAAAGATGGTACCTTAAGCATTAAAGCATGCCCAAGGTAGAGCAAAACAGGAAACAGGAATTAAGAATTGAATTGTACAGATTTCTGTGTCGTTGAAAATGCTTCTTTTTTTTTTGGGGTCCCTCTACACCTATTTGGGGTAAGAATTCATTCATTATATCCAGAAAATTTAATATACTTCTAATAGTTATGGCATATGTACTCATATCATTTGACAGATTCAAATAATTAAGCCTATGTTGGTATAAGCAGTAGCAACTATCTCTAAATGTTACCAACCAACTGATCATTCTTTTGGCTTTAAGAATCCTTAACCTTGCTTCAGTAAATTGTAAGCATTCAAGTTCAGGAACAAATTAAGAGGAAAATAAACAGGTTCATTGCCCTTTAAAAAGAGAAGTTAAAATGCTAGAAAAGTTTATCCTGGTGGATATGCTCCTTAAAGACAGAAAATCATAATGAAAATAAATCTATTAAATGCAACCAAATACTTTTACATTCTGCACAAAAATACGAGGCATCGTCACTAACTACATTGAATTAGAAAATTACTAATAGAGCCATATCATTGTCAATCAGAACATCAAGAACTCTGGAAAATGTGCTTTATATGAGTTAGGAATGGATGTAAGCTGAAGAAGAAACAAAACTAAACAAAACTTACCACATTGGAGGCAGTACCTCCAGGGCAGCAGCCAAGCAATATTAAACCAACTGAGAGAGACGGTGGAAGCCCAAATATTTTAGCAACAAGTGTTGCAAACACGGGCATAATAGTGTACTGAGCAACACATCCAAACAATATCTGAACAAAAGTGACAGATAAGAAACTATTAACAGGAGTACACATTTATATTAGCAGCTCTTTGTGGAGCAAAGATAGAGTTACACTTTCTTCATGAGCAACACAATTTATTTGACAAAAACCAATATTGGCAGAACCATCTTAACTAAAAAGTAATTAGTCACTTGAATACATAACTCACAATAAATACGTTAAAGCATTAATTGCAAACTGGGAAAAGTCAATTTGATAACAAAGTTTCTAAACATAAAATTGAACTGTATCTGATTAAAAAGAGAAAACAAGGTACACATAAAATGCCAAAAGGTAAAGCATTCCCATTATCAAATCAATTTACCAAGAAACCCCAAATTAAAATGCAGTTCTGTTCAAGACAAGACTTACTGAAAGGGGTCTTTGGCGGAACAAGCCAAGCAAGTCCTTATACTCCAAAGTGAGACCCATTGACAACATTATCAACCCAAGAGACAAGGTATATGAAGCTGGGCTTCTCTCAACAAACCATGAAAAAGCAGAGGGTTTGAGGCAAGCAACAACACCCCCAGCAGTCACATAGAAAGGGTACAAGCTTGCTGCAGTGGACAGTATGTTTTCCCATCTGGGTTTTGCTGGAGACACAGCAAAGTGTTCAGAATTTTCTTGAACAGCTCTGATTGTTGGTAAAGTTGTGAGCTTTGGTGGCGGAAAATGTGAAGGCGTTTTGGGTCTAACAGAGATTCTTTGGTGGGTTAAGTTGGGAGGTGAAGTGAAGCAACTGAGTCTGAAAGCGAGGGGCATGGTTAACTTAAGATTATGGTTAATCTATCACTCAGTCTATAGAGTAATTTTGGAAGAAAAGAAAGAACAATGCGGTTCTAGTCTTCTTCTAGATTTTGCATTCGGTGATTTTTGGTTGTAGTTCTTCAGAGTAATGATTTGTGGCACTGACAGTCAGCGGGACACGCAAAGAGGCTGCTTCCTGCTTCTGTCTTCCTGGTTATGGCCGTTAGCGGCTTTGTGGGCTCTCCTTTGTTTCTCATGCGTGTGATGTGGGTTCATTTGGGCTTTGTACACTAATTTCGGCTCGTATGATAATTATTTTAATTTTAATTTTTAAGTTTTTTTTAAAAAAATAATGTTACGCTTACCACATTTATATATTAATTTTCATACCACTTTATATGACAGATGAGGTGGACAACCATATCAATTAAATTAATTTAACATTTTATTTTCTTTTATGATTTATTGATACTTTTAAATAGATGTGGCTGTCCACTTCATCTGCCACATAATGTGATATACAAATGTAGTAAGAGTAGCACTACTCTCTTTTTTTCCTTTTCTTTTTGGCTATAATATAGAGGAAAATGAGAGTGAGAATAAGAGTGATGATGAGAGGAACAAAAATGAAAATAATTTCAAATAGATTTCAGTTTTTAATTTTTGTTTTCACTTTGGTTACTACTCCCTCCATCATTTCCTCTCATCTTCCTTCTCAATCTCATCTCCACTCTCATTATTCTTCCTCTTTTTCCTTTATACTCTAGCACAAAAAAAAAATGAAAACTAAAAAATAAAATTGAAATGATAATCAAACGGACAGTATAATTTTTTGAAAGTCACACATATCATTCGTTCTTTATCTTTCTTTATCAAAATTTTCTTCTATTTATTATTATTATTTACCATGGAGAAGTACTAGAGATCTTTTTTTCTTTTTTCCTTTCGTATAGGTCCGTCCTTTCCTACAATTAATTTAATTTTGTGCCCTTGAGGGTTGAAGTATAAGCCATTTTTACCAAGTATATATAGGTCATTCTTTTACTTTGGTATATGTCCTTTCATCTATAATTAATTACATTGTGTGCCTTTAAGGCTTAAAAGTATACTTTATTTTGCACACTTATTTTTTACTTTGGTACAAAGTCATTTCATATAATTAGTTATGTTTTCCACCCTTGAATCTGAGAATATTTCATTGTTCAACCCAACACTTGTGGGATATTGGAATGTTTTCCATCCTCAAGTTTTTCGTTATATAATTTCGCTTGCAGGCAGATTGCAAATTTTATGCTGATGCAGACAATAAATTTGCACCAAATGGAAAAAAAATTAAAAATTAAATCATAATGAAAGGCGGCCAACCATTCTTATCCATAAACTAAAAAATATATATTCAGGAAAAAAAAACACACATGATTTTGAAGAAGTTCTGAAAGTCACATTTGATAGATTCTTGCCCAAAATAGGAAAAAAAATCAGTCTTTGGTTTCTTCATTGTGGCAAGCCTGCCTTTCCTCACAGCATTTGTATGAATGTAATCATCATAATGTGACTTGTTCAAATGGCTAATTACATAGTCAATACCGACTTTGTCTGGAATGGTAGATAGCAATTATAATTTACCAAAAGTCAGGCAACTTCTGAGATGCCTTTAAAAGTTGACCCTTTTTTTTCTTTGACCAACAACATGGAGATGACAAAAGGAAGCAGTTGCAATAGTCTTGAAGGAATCAAATCAAACTACACATGTCAACAAACTTAATTAATAATTCAATTAAGAGAGATGTCAACAAAGATTAAACAACCCTTCCACGCAAAACAGAGGGGTAGAAGTGATTAAAAAAAAAAAATTAAGTTAAAACAACAAAACCAATGATAATTTATTTGCCAGATGTAAGAGGGTATCCAATGCCATGTCTTTTGGTGGGGAAGACCACAAACAGCAAGCTGCAAATAAGCCCAATACCAACTGGAACAATGTTCAAAACCTCCTGAGTCTCATGCCCAGGCGTAGGGTAGAAGCACCCCACAACATTCTTGTCCCTCAAAGCCACAGCCCCAAACACAAACACAGACAAAACTGCATGAACCAAATCCATGAACCTTATCTTGTACTTGCTCAAATCAGGCAGACCTGAACATGAGGCATCCGGGTAGTCAAACAAAAATAACCCCTTGGTCGTTGCCAGGCCGTAGTAGACTTGTCCATCAGAGGCCTTGACGCTGTCGGTGAGGGACGCGACGAAACACGAGAGGGCAAAGAGGAGGAGCAGGATGAGGGTCATGGGGCGCGTAGCGGAGTCACAAGAGCCGTTGCTGGTGAAGATTGGGATGAGGAGTTGGAAGGCGAGGAGGGTGCCTGTTGGGAGGAGGTTGGCTAGGTTTGCTGTGCTTGTTAGGGTTTGGGAGATGGCACGTTGGGAGAGGGTGGGTTGTGGTAGTTGAGGGCTTTTCGGGGTGTCAGGTTCCGATTCGGAGCTGGTGGTGGAGGCTGGTGGGTTGGTAGTAATGGAAACTGCATCTGATATCGATGGTTGCTTTGTAGGTGTTGGTCTTGGTCTAAGAGACATGTTGGACTGTGGCGGCGGAGGTGGCGGAGGTGGTGGTGTTGGAGGCCGCGATTGTGGTGGCTTTGAGAATTGTTAGTATTTAGAGGAGACACTTGGCGTATGGGGGTAGATTAATGGTTTTGGTGATGGTTAGGGAGAGCTATATTATATATAGCGAGAAAGAACTCTGGTTAGGTGGATGGAAAATGATAAGAACGTTACGTTAGTTGTTGTTGCTTGTCTTGGAAGGTGGTTGTTTCCATGGAGTTTCTTGTTAGGTCAAGCTTTTGACATCTTCAATGTTCACGGGCTGTATATTCTCACATGTTCATATGCGTGACGTTATGTATCTGAATGCATATGTGCAATACTAATTAACAATGTCATTTTAGTCATGTTCACCAATTTTGACAATTTATTTATACAATCTTGACAGGTCATTTCCCATCTTTTAATTAAGCTAGCACGGAATCTTCTGCTGTATATTATCTTAATATAAACTTCGTGGTCATTAATTTTTATTTTATTTTTAAGGAAGAGGATACCACTTTATTACAACTCAGAAAAATAAAATTCATATCATGGATTTGAGCTTGTTTCTTGCAGGATCTACTTCCATGTATAATTGTGCTTTCACTAATCTTGAGGAAGTATAATTAAAGGGAAAATTTTCAAAATGTCACATGAACTTTTACACCAATTTTAATTTGTCACTTTAAAGAAAAATTTAAGAAAAACATCACCTCAATTTTTCAAAATCCATGAAACAGCATTTGACACTAACACACCATCCAATTTTTCATCCAAAATTTTGCTTGTGCAAGGGGTCGGCATATTAAACTTTTCAAGACCCAAACCTTACTTCAAGCTCCTTATTCCAGAAAGAGGGTTGAAATTGGGGGATGAGGTTTAGCGATGCAATAGTGAACACGTTTATCCTAGGGTGAAATGAGTAGACAGAAAGACAGTGGTGACTAGGTCTCACCTCGAATACCATTTTAGGTGGATAGAAATGTCCAATCGCTTTGAATTTTGGATATTTTGAAGATGTAGACCTTAGGAACCAGTTTTACGAAGACATTTCAATAAAAGAGGAGTTGAAACTGCCATGCAAGGACAAATCCGTGCATAACACAAAACACAAGGTTTGTGATGAACAGCTTGCACGTAAATTTCGTTTGAGGTAGCTTTACTTCTTCGATTGGTCTAATTTTTTTATATGTTCTATTAGTCCCGATGAACAAGTTTGAAGAAGGAAGGATTTTGTTTTGAATTGAGGAGAGTGGGTTCTGAAGCAGTTAAAAGGACTAACGTGAAGAAAGAGAGCTGGAGCTCTCAACTTGGAAGATAATGAGAAAAGTGTGTGTTGTGTGAGAGTTATCAATGGTCAAACTTAGGAATCATAAGGAACATATTATTTATTGACACTTTTTAATTGATGTGGTTATTCACTTCATCTGCCACATTAAATAGTATGAGAATGTGGTATACAAATGTGATAAAAGTAGCATTATTCTTTTATAAAAAAAAATGTATTATTAGAAGAGTCAACAACTTTCAATTCCTAATGCAACACAAAAGAAAGTGACATTTCTTAATACTCATTTCCCAATATTCCTAACACGAGAATTAATATTTACCATTTATATCTCGTGGGATTAGACATGTGCATTTTATTCTAAAGAAGTTTATTTTGCGAACCAAACAGGCCCTTAAAGATGGGAGAATCAAATATAGGACATTAATCCATTAATAAACACTTAGTGCCTGTTTGACATTACGGCCTCGTTTGGGACTGCTTCTCTAGGAAGCACTTCTATTTATAAGCGCTTATACCCAAAGTGCTTTTATTATAAAGACGTTGAAATTTTCGTAAGAAACAGAAGTGCTTCTTGAAAAAGCACTTGGGAGTGCTTCCTGAAGAAGCAAATGACAGGTGCTTCTCCAGAAAGCGCTTCTATGGCCTAAAAGCACTTCTAAATATTTCTGCCAAACGCTGTCAGAAGCAGTTTTAGTTTTCAGAAAGCGCTTTTAACTATTCCAGAAAGCGCTTTTAACTATTTCAGAAAGCGTTTTTCTTTTGAGTGATAAGTGAAAGTGAAAGTACTTTCTCTTTTATTAAACATTTTAACAGAAAAACAATTTCAACATAATGCATTTCTTAGTCATTATACACAACTCACCGCACTTTCATAAAAAAAAAAATTAATAAGTACTTAGAAATTGATTATTGTACCAATAACACTTTTAACAAATAGTTTACCAAATGCAAAACTGTTTTCTCTTATAGCAAATGTGACAACTATTATTTTTACAATACAGCAATGTCAAACTGACCCTTAAGCACTACAATGAGCACTTCCATCTTTAATGACAATAATGTAGTTGGTTGGTTACAAAAAGTAACCATGGTTATTTGCCTTTGGTGGCCACTATGGTCGCGGCATTACCGTGGTCAAGGAAAATGCAAACTAGCATTTAGCAGCGGCATGTTCGTTTAGCACACACTTGGAGCCACGAGTCTGTGTGCTAGTCCCTGCAAACCAAAATCCCTGTGAAAAATGAAGTAATCAAAACCCTAATCCCCAAATGCCCAACTAGTCCCAAGCCTGATCTCTACGATCCATTTGATTCAAGCAAAGGTAACTTTCTCTGTCTCACTCTCACTCTCACTCTACATACACATGTGTCTTCGAT